GTGGAAGGACAACACGTGGGTGGTCTGTTCAGGAGACTTTTGACTTTGTTTTTTTGGGTATTTTATTCCTTGGCAGAAAGAACTCCTGGGGCTGCTCGGCAGAGGGTATGGCCAGATCACAGGAGCATCCTCAGCCCACCCAGGGGCCAAAGTTCAGCTGGAAGCTCCCAGCTCCAAGGGGTTTCGCATCAAAGCACGGAGGAGTCAAGAGAAATTAAAGTCAGAAACGCTCAGAGGATGGGGCAGAGGGCACTGCCGGCACCCTGCCGGGACGGGGGGCACCCCTGCTTCCCCGGGCAGCCTGGCACTGGGAAACAGAGGATAAATGGATTTTAGGTTTCAAAATGGGTTTGAAAGGCTCAGGCAAGCATCTGACGGGATGCACAGCTTGGGTTTTGCAAGCTGTGCCGTGCTGGCTTTGCCAGCAAATCCCGGCTGTGCATCCCGCTGGATCCGCAGAGACGGAGCAGGTCACCTGCAGTGACCCAGGTGTGCTGGCAGCCTTGGAAGGAAGCTATGGGAGGTTGATTTTCACTTGAGTTTGCCTGTGAAATGCAAAACAGCTCCTTAAAATTCGGGTAATTGGGAGATTGGTAAATCCTTTCTGCCTGCAGCTTCCTGCTGGGCTTGGTTGATAGATGAGGGATGCCACATTTCCTCTTCCCAGTTCTTTGTTTGACTCCTGAGCTTTTGGGGAAACAATCTGTCACTGAGGACTCTTTGCAGCCTGAGGGTCCCATGGGATGTAGCTCAGAGGACCCCAGTTTCAGCCCTCATTAGCTTGATGACCATGTCACTGCTTGAACTTGACCCTCAAACACAGAGAAGACACTGACCAAGGGCTGTAAGACACTTGGTTGCGATTCTGGCCCCTCTTTGCCCACTGCAGGCAAAGCTAGTGTTGAACCAAGCCTTGTATCGGCTGAGGGACAGCAGAAAGGCTGAACCTTGGGGTCCCAGAGCCACCAAGCTGGTGCCAAAGAGAGGTGGGAGCTGTGCCAGGGCTTTTGGCATCCCCAGCCCATCCCTGGGGTGTCTGGGCTGGCAGCCAGGACTGCTGAAGGCTGCAAAGCTGGTACCCCTCGAGTGGCACAGGACAGACGTCCCCCAGACAGACCTGGTAGGAAGGGTGCCCACTGCCCTGGGGAGAGTCCAGCCCTGGACACACAGTGACCCAGGCCCTGCAGCCTGCGGCCACCAGCGGAGCCAGCCCAGCGGGTTGGTGGGGCAGGTCCTCCCTGCTGCCACCTCTCCTGCCAGGAGAACTGCCTGAGCATCCAGGAGCCACTGCATCTCCCCTGTGAGGACAGGCTGAGGGAGTTGGGGCTCTTCAGCCTGGAGAAGAGCAGGCTCGGTGGAGACCTCA